TTTTTTTTTTTCCCGTTGCGCATTTATTTGATGGAGGTTGATGGTGGACTGGTGAGCTTGGCTTGTACAAAAAAAAACACACGCGGGGAGAACTGCCACCTGTGTTTGGGGTGGGCTGGCGTTCACTTTTTGAGACATCTGCATGTGGTTTACTTGTTCGTGTTGCCAAGTGCTCTCCTTCATGAGGCAAAAGGCTGAGTGTCAGCACGTGCGCATGTCGTCCATGTGACGCAAGACGATCTGCGCATGCGAAGCGCATGTGTGAGCGTGCACAAGCCTGGGAACCTTCAAGGAAACACAATCAAAGTCATCTGTTTTTTTTTTTGTTCTTTGCATCCTTTCACTTGAAAAGGAATGACAGCTTTCGGAGTCGTTTACCCGTGATCAGAAACACACCAAGCCATCGATGGCCTCATGTTCGCCATCGAGAGCTGACGAATGACAGCACATGTTCTTTGCTTGACTGTAAGCAAGCCTTACGGTACAAATCTCGCCTGTGGATGAAATATATTCTCCGTGTTCCATTTATAAGATAAGATAAGAAAACGTTTATTTTTCTCACAACGGAGAAATTTGCAATTTACAGCAGCAACATTTGGAGGGAAGAAAGTAGGAAAAACATGACGATTTGTATGCATCCTTCTGTTGACTGACGCATTCAGATTGTCCCCAAGTGGGAACCCGACCGGCTCAGAAGTCAGCCGAGTGAACCGCTAAACTATCAGTGAGCCCGCCGGCAAATCCTGCTGCACACTGAACTACATCAGACGCATTTTCCATGCGATTTAATTGCCAGCATTTTGAATGATCGGCGACTGCGTCTCGTTGTTGTTTTCTGGCACGTACGTCGCGCCGGTGGCAAACGTGGCTCGCCCGCAAAGTTGAAGAGGTGAACGCCAACAAGGAAGGATTAAAATCGAGATGATGGGAGAGAGTATTGGCCACCCTGTCGTGTTTGGTGTTAAATGGCCAATATCCTTGAGTGCAAATAAAAGCAGAGACTTGAAAGTGAATCTTTTTCCACCCCCGAGACGATTTTAACTATTGCCAGGCTGATCCGTCGGCCTGCGTAGCCTTCTCTCTCGGAATCTAATGTCTCCCATATGTTGGGAGGCAAGAGGGGAACAATAACAGCACAGTCCGGCGCGGAGACGGACTGTTGGCAGAAAAACAGGCAAATCAAGAAAAAGGCACACTATAGAAACGACAAGACATTTGTCTTCGCTCCGCTCTCGCCTCGCCGGCTGTCATGTAAGACCTTCAAACAAAGTAATCCGTTGGACTGGGAAAGCCGAACGTTATGGTAAAGATTAGCTTTCCCTCAAAAATGGAATCACTGTTTGGATTGCAATCATCTTTGATTGTCCTTCTCCTCGGTCATATTGTCTGTGTTCCCTACCTAAGCACGCTCGCTCGTCTTTATCGTGCCAGCACCAACGCCGCACTCCTCCCGACAGCTTTTCGGATTGTGGCTATGATGTGTGTCGCCCGATGTGTGTCGTCGCGATCCTCGCTTATCTTTTCATGAACTCACGTTTCAACTGTACCGCGCGTGTGTAAACATCCACTTCCTTAAACGCTTTTCTGTAAATATGCATCGGAGCTCTTTTCCTCTTCCCGCACAACATGCGCGACCCCCTCTCATCCACTTCTCCGTACCCCTCCACTGCTTTCTCCAGGCCCAGATTCAGCTGGATTGTGGAGACGACAACGTCTGCGTCCCTGACCTCAAGTTGGCAGTTTATGGGTGAGAGGAAATCACTTTTCGATGACTTGTACTGATTCGGCAAACTTAATGCGAGCCTTTGATCCAGTGGCACCGAGCGGGGACGAGAAAATGGTTGCGTGCCAGGCGCATATCGTACGAAACGTCCATTAAAAGCGTTTGATGTTCACGTCACGCATGATTTCCCTATTTTGTCTTTTCAAGGACGTATTGGCCGCGTGCATGTTCTTCCATTCCCACATGCGCGAGCAAGTTAAAGGCTGGAACGCTTTACACTACACTGCCGCCCTGTGTGGGTGGGGGTGGGGGGGTGTTGGTTTTTCAGCAGACGTATCCCCCCCCCCCTCTTCCCACACCTCTATTTTTATCTCCGTGAAGCAGTTTGTGTTGCATTTTTAACAAGTGCAGCATAAAATCTATTTTTATCTCCGTGAAGCAGTTTGTGTTGCATAAATCCAATTTGATTTGATTTGAACAAAGGCATGGTCCACTTGGACTGGTAGCGCACTGCAGAGAATAATGAGTCAAACAAGGCCCCGTGGCCAAGAAAACACATTCGGCCAAGACTGGAAACTTGCAAGAGTGCTTTTTGCTTGGCGGCATTGCATGCAAAAGTTATTTCACCAGTATGATCAAGAAGCATCATACGAGTTGTTGCTTTTTGCAATAAACTATAAAGTGGTAATTGGTGTGCACATACAAGTAGAATTTGCGCACGAAATAGAAAACAGTCTGCATAAATAGGTAGTTCACGGGCATGGAGTATTTTATTTTTTTTAAAATGTCATATCTGGGGCTCTGTAGAAAATGAATGGCTGAACGGACACTATGCTATCCAACATAAAGCCGACAAACACACTCTGGTCCAATTCGGCTCTATTATGAGGGAGTCTACATGGTCAGACCATTAGTCTTTGCTGGAAAAAAAACCCATTCAGGTCCAAAATTGTTCCCATGCTGACAGTTTATCATGTGTCGTAGCTGCCATGGACCACATTGAAATGAAGCAGCAGTTAAGCGGAATAGGACCCTCTCCCCCCCTTCACCTGAATCTGCGAACAAAACTGCTGCAAGCCGCTAGATGTGGTGAAGCTTGGATTTTTTTTTTCTTTTTTTTTATAAAGAAAAAAAAATCCCCACTGCAGAGATTTGCCCATTCACAGTATCTTTATGGTGTGATGGTATCAGTGTGACTTCCTTTGCATTGCCTAATTCAATTCAGCTGCTGGTCTTACCTTGCAAGGGGCCAGAGTGGAGGAAATGGAAAATCAAAGAGGGAGCCTGATTTGGAGCCTCAACTGGACTTTTTTTTGTTTTTTTCCGGTCTGGTGACTCAATAGAAACTTGAATGTGTTTTGAGGGTAGGTTGGATTTATCACAAAATTCAAACTTGTGTTTTAGCACTCGGGGGCGTCGCTGTTAACCGGCACAAGAAGGTGGAGGGAGTTTCCTGAGCTGAAAGGTGCCGATCACATGTGGGTCATTTCCCTGGTTGGGCATGGACAGTGATGCGTATAAGTGGGCTCTGGGGATCGCTCCTCACAAAGAGCAATTGTGAAGACTTGGGAACCCCTGCTTTTCATTAACTTTTACAATCCCGACTTTGTGTCATAGCTCCAAGTGGCTTCAAATGAACGCCATCGGAGCAGCGGGGGGTTTTCGGGGGTTAACTCAAGTCAGGGAAGCATTGCGCACAAGCCTTCATTTCATCTCAACCAAAGAGTTCATCTTTTTGCACGCGCCCGCCCCGCTGTGATGGTGCGTTCGCTGGATGATGCCATTTTTGTGCTTTTCCAGCACGTTGACTTTGAGGAGGTGTTGGGAGGAGTCCATTGAGATCAGGTGTGGATTCACTTTTCACATGATTTCACCAAAACGTGCCGAATAATTCCAAAATAATCAGCACAATAACCGAAACCTTTTTTGGGTGAGTGAATATACTTTGTCCCACCGTCTCTGTAACATGAAGAGGAAAATGACGACGAACGCGTCGGCCTCACGGTGCAGATGTGCAGGGTTCGATTTCCTGGCTCTGGTCTTCCTGTGTGGAGTTTGCATGTCCTCTCGGTGCTTGCCTGGGTTTTTTCCCGGTATTCCGGTATCCTCCCACACCCCAAAAACATGCGTGGCAGGTTCATGGAACGCTCTAATTTGTGATGATGAGCGCGAATGGTCGTTCGTCTACGTGCGTTGTGCGATTGGCTTGCAACCAGTTAAGGGTGTTGAGGCTTTCAGGAACTTTTTCAGTGAGATTCATAAGACTGCACTGGCTTTTGGCAAAATAGAAAAAAAATGTGTTATTGTTGGAAACTTGAAAATCTGAAACTAGTCGCCGTCTCCACTTTTCGCTTTCAAGCGTGCCGACAACGAGAACGATGTCGTTGATGATGTGTTTTCATCACCCAGTGACAGAAAAGAAGTTTACCTGGGTGACGAAAACTCCCTCAGCCTCACCTTCCATGCCAGAAACGAGGGAGAAGGCGGAGCCTACGAGGCTGAGCTCTACGTCCGGCTTCCTAAAGAGGCCGACTACAGCGGGATAACGCGTAACAATGCGGTGAGCAAGGCAACAAAAACAATGTCAAGAGTTATTTGTCACGATTGATGACATTGCATTTTGTATTTCATTGTTTGTTTGTTTTTTTTGGGGGGGGGATGGGGGTTGTGACTCCCTTTGCTTTTCTTCTACGCCTCTCAATTCTATTTTTGTCTCTGGGTGCATTTCAGAGTCTGAGTCAGCTAACGTGCAGCTACGAGGCCCAAAACGAGACCCGCTTCCTCCAGTGCGATCTGGGAAACCCCATGAAACCTGGCACGAGTGTAAGAGCTAATCGACTTCGCACATGGGCCAGATTTCTTTTCTTACACAACAACAAAATCAAAGCCAGTTGTTATTTTGTAGCTCCGCGCAGAGAGAACTCTCACGGGTTGTACACCGTGTGTCATTCCGTCTTCCGATTAATCACAAATATTTCTTTCCTAGTTTTGGGCGGGTCTCCGCTTCACTGTTCCCAGACTCACAGACACTCAGAACACTGTAGAATTTGAGCTCCAATTAAGAAGGTTGGTCCCTTTTTTTTTTTTTTAAAGACCAAAGTGTCTAACAGTAAAAACATAAACATCTTCATAAAAATCCTGGGAATTGCACCGTTTACATTGCCCTTGAAACGCTGCGGCTACAAGTGCATATAATCCAAATTACTCATCACACCATGACACGCTCTTCTTTATTCAGTGGTCAAGTTTATTTTGGTGCCTGCTATTGTGCAAATGCAAAGTGTCTGCCTCCTCCTGGCACTTGAGCTCACGGATCCCTCTGGTGGACTCCAACAATGTAATGAGGCTCTCTCCGGTGGCATTCACGGTCAATACGGTTTGAGTGACAAACGCAGACCATTTGTAGAAAGAACCCCCGCGAAGATGCATTTGTGTCCGTTTTCATGGGAAAGCCATGTCATGCAATAGGAGAGTGCAAACACATGTTGGCATTAAAAGTTGTTGTTTCTTCGGCGCAACAATTATTACTGTAAATAATTCAAATGCTTATATCAGTGAAATTAATCCCAGATTATTTTTCCCATTTTTTAAATTTGTCTTTTAGTAAAAATGCAAATAACTCGGAGAGTGAAGTCGTTCAGTTCCAGTTGGAGGTAGCTGCGATGGCTGACATTATTCTGCAAGGGTGAGACGTCTCGGATTGTTTTATCCATTCATTTTTTGCTGTCTCGACTTGGGGCGGCGCTGAAATTTTATGTCTGTTGCAGTGTTTCCCGGCCAGACAAAGTCTTCCTCCCTCCCCCCAATTGGGGTGCTAGTCAGAGTCTGACAGGCGAGCAGGACATCGGCCCTGCGCTTGAACAGATCTATGAGGTCTCCCGCATTCTGCAGCCTCGTGGCTTATAGATAGCAAAAAAAAAGAGCTCTCAGTATAGACACTGCTTGTTTACAAATCCTGTACATCACTTACCGTAACTGTTTAAGTTGATGAAAAGAGCCACAATTCCGACAACAGTTGATTTTAGGGCGCGCCATTTTGTGGTTCTCCTGCAGGCAGCTTCAAAATGACTTTTTTCTTCTTCTCAGTTGGTCAACAGCGGTCCCAGTATTGTCAGTCAATGCACGTTGGAGGTGAGATGTCCTCTCAGGACTCACAGCCATGACCTGCTCTACCCTGTGGAGGTGCTCACCGAGGGGCCACTCAGCTGCTCCTCCGATCACGCCCTCAATGCACTGAAACTCAAGGTGAGACATGGCCAGACTAGCGCCAAATATCGGCCATGCTCTTAAACTGTCCTGCGTGTACAGCGGGCCTTTTCGTGTGACGGCAAATGACTCCTCATGCGTTTCAGCTTCAGTCTCCAGCTTCAAGGAGTCCCTCATCGTTGGAATCCAGCGTGGAGCATCGCATCCGGAAGAGGGAGGACAAAGGTCCCATGACTGGACAAGGAAACTTGGTGATTACAACCGTTATTATTCGCCAGCCCTCCGTTATTTAAGAAAAAAAAATCTTTGATGTGGTCAGTGGAGTCTCTGCTTGAGTTTTCAGAAGTCATCGCAGAAAGTTACGAGATTTCTTGCTGCTTGCTTTCTTTTTTTTTTTTTTTTATAAGACAAGTCACTAGAAGGCTTGGAAAAGTCATTCCATAAAATGGCAATAAAGCCAGAGAATTTTCACAAAGACGCCTGGGGACCCTTTTCAAATGAAGAAGATATTGCGTGATAGATTTCCTGTATTGCATTTGAATGTTTAAGCGCTTGGCCTTTTTCCTCCCGAGTGTTTTTCACACAAACACAGTACACAAACTTAAATTGAAAGTGGAATCACTGAGGCCAAAACCAGTGCAAAGCTTCTGTGTTTGCCAGGTATTCACATTAGCATGTGATTGTTGCAATTAACATAGGAAATGGGAATATAACGAGCCCTGGTCCACATCGGCTCCTGTCTGCTGCGTTTATGGGTGGGAGTTAATTATCTTTGTGGTTTACTGGGCTGCTTGTTGCGCGGCCGACATGATGCCTGTTTTTCCACTGCCCATCTTTTGTGATGTTCAGCCACATTAAAGATGTCATCAGAGAGAAGAGACTTTCTAAAAAAAAAATTCATTAGCCACACAAGTCCTTCAGTTACGTGATGAAATAAATACAGTCCAGTATTGGTGACTGACGGTCACATGCGTCCCATCACAGACATGCTCGACTGTGGAGTGCTGGCGGCTTGAGTGTCACGTTGGGCCGCTGGAGAAAGGAGACAGCGTTATCCTGAGTGTTCACTCGAGACTTTGGGCAGAGACTTTCCTCGAGGTGAGTCTACAATTTCCTCAACCGGGTAACCGAATTATATTCCTTCATGTGAAGACTCGATGAGGAAGACCCAAAAACTAAAAATGCTGCCCTCTGGTGGAGAGTGTGACCACTCACTCCGTATGTAATGAAAAGCCTACAGGAGACATAAACACACTCTTATTTTTATTTCATCATTGGCGATTGCCAGTAATTTACAATGTGTAGTAAAGGCTCACTTTGGATCTCACCTGATGAACAAGAAAACATTTAAGCCCCTTTTTATCTGAGGATGGATGGTGCATTGCGGCCATTTCAATCCTTGAAAGAAGTCGGCATGACGTCACAAACCTCGGCATATGAGCCTCCATATTGGATTTTTTTCCTCTCCCATCATACCATGAATAATAATTTTATGAAGACAAAGCGCCTCTGATGATGTCCTCTGCCTCACTGGAAAAATGTATTTTTTGATGAGATTATTGTCCTCACGTGAATAAGCGTTATGAAAACCAAAAATGTCACAAAGCGTTAGTTAGCAATAGCGCTGCTATCCCACATAGAAAACAAGATTAGATTTGTATCTTTGGGGCACTCTTCTCCTCGGTTGTATCAGAAAAGTAGATTTAGTGCTGAACACTACACGGTGACAGTTTAATAGTTCCTCAGGTGTATCTTTTCTGCTTGTTGTCAGAGGGCCCACAGACAGTTTTTTTTGGAGTGCTCCGTTCATTTCACCGTGGACCAGATGCCCTATTCCATTCTTCCAAAATTCAAACAATCTGGATTTAAAAAGGTCAGTCTTACTGCCAGCTTCTTTTGTTTACCGTCGTGAGATTAAGTTTCGTTGCGTAGACTTGGCTGAACGATGGCTTTCCGTTGCCCAGGTGGTGACGGCCGTGCTGTGGAACAAATCGGACAGCCTGTTCTACGTTCCTGTGTGGATCATCATACTCGCTGTTCTAACTGGGCTGCTTTTACTCTCACTGCTGATATTTCTGCTGTACAAGGTAATAATCTCTACAAATCACATCTGCGGAGAAGTGTTTGTGTTCCGAGGCCAAAATAGACATTCGTTCCTGTGTGGTCTTTCTACTCAATTTTCAAGATCGCCTCATTTGTGCTCAGACATTATATTTGCGCTGAGTTGACACCTAATGGCACATATGGACTATTTTTTGAAGAACTCCGAGTATAAAACATCCAAATCTAACCTCATTTGAAATGGTGATTTTTTTCCTTATAAACAGGGCATGTTTGCATGAGATGACATTCTCGAAGGAAAACAAACACAACTGACTGTAACATGAACTGACATGATAGGCAATACATATTGTCTAGTTGCAGTCACATGGAGCTGACTGAATTGAACAGGAACTGATTTATTCGTGACACTTACTTTTCCATGGTACACTGAATGTTTTTACTGCAACACAATTGAAGTGAGAGGCAATATTATTCACCTGAGTGCATATTTTGTTTCAAATGAGACTAACGTGTTCATTTGTTGTCATCCCCCCCCCCCAGATGGGCTTCTTCAAAAGGTCCGATCCATATGGTACCACCATGGAGAAGGCCCAGCTCAGACCCCAGGCATCGTCAGAAGCCTGAATCCAAGATGGAGCAGTTGTCCAACACAACCGAAATATGACGTATTATCATGTTCCTAAATTATTCATGAATAAGACTTTCTAATGATGAGCAGGAACTATTGGTGGACATCTCCGTGCGTTGGATCACTGGACTACGCCTTACCTGGTGCTGCACTAAAATACAAGCCACAAAGATGAGGAGGAGGGCATGCAGTGAACGATGCAAGACGTTCATTTTATTCAATCAGAATATGAACAAGCGATCTGGGTATTCATCAGAGGGAACCACGTTTGAAAGGAGGAACTATTTTATCTGTCTCACACAGGAGGACTTACGAGAATGTTGCATCAATGACTTTTTGGCTTGGGCATGCGGTTGCATTCCATTCGGTTTCACATTTTGTTACATCATGGAAAGTCGTCGGATATTTTGCATTCCATTCGGTTTCACATTTTGTTACATCATGTCGTCGGATATTCGCCAACAACGGAATTAGTGAATGCAGTGGGCGGTGCCCGCTGTCAGGAGCGTCCAAACGGAAGTTTGTATAATAACGCTACAAGGCTATTTACTGGTAAATCTTTCCGGTCTGCTCATGAACAAATCTGCATTTATCGTTTGTCGTGGTTTGCGGCGTCCTCATTGTCAAGAGGTTCCCGGTACTTCAGCTTCTTTCCACATTCCTAAAACACGTATGTGAGTTCATTCAAGACGACGTTTCCTTTCGGCGTGAATGTGAGTGTCAATGGTTGTTTGGTAATATATGCTGCTGTCCAGTGCGTATATGCCGTCAGCTCACCCCCGTTTAATCAGAATGCCGTGTTTAGACCAGTGGAGCTACATAGAACATATGATGAACATTTTTTTGGGTGGACTTCCCCTCCAAAAATCAACTTACACTCATAACTACAGACGGAGCCATGAAAAAAGAAAAACAAATCTGCTAATCCTTAAAATTTCCTGAACAATTTCTTTCACCAGGCGACTGTCAATGCCTCTTTGTTTCTCTCTGCTCACCAAATGAGACACACAGGTCCTCTCGAGGCTTGTTTCAGTCCAGGAAACACAAACAAAAGGCACACATGCTCTGGTATTTCATGTCTCCAAAACGATTCAGTCCAGTTTGCAATTTACTCTTCAGTTTGGTATTTCTCGCTGTTAGTTCATCCCAATAATACTGTCGTTATTTATGCCCTGGTGTCAGTTGATTGTGAAATGTTTTACTGTACTGCCTGCGGGACAATCCTGAACAAACTGCAAATGTTTAACTTGAAATTTCCTCTCCCATATTGGGAGGCACTTTGTGTTTATTGCGACGTGTGGTGTTTATGTGTCAGAATAAAGCATCATTTTGTGTACCTACCCATCCTAATTTGAGATGATTTCTTGGAGCTATTTTCTATTGAACATAACATAAAGACAAAATCTTTAACAATTGTTTATGTGTCAGAATAAAGCATCATTTTGTGTACTCATCCTAATTTGAGATGATGTCTTGGAGCTATTTTTTATTGAACATAATATAAAGACAAAACCTTTAACAAACGGATGAACGCTATTGTTGCAACCGTGTTGACTTCCATCACGAGTTGTTGAGGTGGACCCATTTCTGCTGATGATGCGCGCGTGTGTTTCTGCCGAGACCCACCGCCTGCACGCTCCCTCCACGCCCCCTTTGAAAAAAAAAAAAAAAAAAAAAGGCCAGCTGGCACAAGGACGCTTCACTGCAGAGGAGCTCCAGTGTCCTGACGGAACGCCAGACTCGTCCTTTGGAGCCGTGAGTAACGTGCTGTTTTACAGAAATGGCTTCTGGAGTGGATGTTAGTATGCGCCCTTAGTAGGTCGCTAAGCACATCACGCTGCGTGATCAAGGGTGGATGACTCAGCTGCTTATTTTGCCCCTCAGAGAATGCGAGTGAAAGATTGACTTTTATCAACAACAATTCCAAAGGAGCAAACGCAAAGTCAAGACCAATCTACGGACGCTGATTCCTATGACTCATCCCCGCTGCTTTTCGGTTGACTGATATTTCTTTTCTGTCAGCCTGATGACGGACTGATCCTCTGGGATGCCCCCTATTCAGCGCGGAATCAGGGCGGCTTTGCATTTGCTCAATGGGTTGTGCAGTGAGTCAGCACACTGGGTATTAGTGTTTTCATCAACGCGGGACCAAAGATTGCGCCCGTTTATTCCAGGAATCCCGTGTCAACCTTTTCAGCTTTCAGTAAACTCATCCAAGAGATACACTCTTTAATCATTGTGGATGTACTTACTCATCCCTAGACCCAATTGGAAATTTACAGTGATTACTTCCCTGGATCCAAACTTACTAAAACTATGTCGTCCATTTTAACGAATAAAGAAATCGCCAAGCATGGATTGAAGGCCACATTCAGTCAAAAGTCCTTTGTCGAGTCGTCGTGTTTCTTTTGGGTGATCAATAAAATAGTTTACAGCATTTTATTCATTTTGGATAGCAAACCAACGTTTGGGGGAGGCTGCTTGCTTGAAAATGCTCAACAGTCGGCGATGAGGTTAAAATACAAGTCAGTGCGTCTTCTAAAGTGCTTTTTATTCTGTCCAGACGCTGCCTGGTTAGTCCGCCATAATCATGGCCAAGAATCTGATCAAGAATCCCAACGGTGAAGGTAAATTGTCTTCGGCTGGAACGTGGGGTGAGATTTTGAGAATGTGGCAAGTGAACAAAGCTCGCCACTATAAGTGACAAGTTCAGCCCCAAATTTGAGTGAATTTTGATGAGGTGAATGGCTGTTCTGGTATTTAGCAACATTTCGCAAGCCTCCAAGATGGTATAATTTGGAGTGAATTCCACTCTCGGACTGAATTTGACCTCTGCTGGGTGTTGGCTCAATCACATACTGACTTCATGACATCATGTAGTGACCATTTGAAGACTGTGCATATTCCCCTCCCAGAGGAACTGGAATTCTGGGAGCTGACAGAGAACGGCGGGAGCGAGTGGGTTGTGGAGGACATGCCGGGAGACTGCGGCCATGACTTCAGTGATACGGCAGTGATGAAATACTTTGCAACCTCCTTCGAGTGAGTGCGAATGACACGCTTGTCTTCGTATGCATCTCTGGGTGAGTGCATTGAGAGTCACATTTGGAGACAGGCAAACATTGATGTGCAGATTCACATTGTCACCGACGAGCCACTGAACCCGAGATGACGACAGACAAGTTAAGCAAGTTGTACTGCTACAGCACAACTTTCATAAGTGACTCCAACTGAAAATTAGGACGAAAATAATATGTGAAACATGATGGCGGTTCCCAAAGTTTAAATTAATTTAACTATCTACTGAACAGATTATGTTGCCTGTAATGCACTTGACTTTTGAGTCAGCCAATCCTCCATGAAGAGTCTCCAGTTGGTCCAGAATGCTGCCGCGAGCCTCTTGACTGGTACTCGAAAGAGGGGGCACATAACTCCGACTCTGGCATCCCTTCACTGGCTCCCTCTACATTTTCGAGTTCTTTTGAAGATCCAGTTATTTGTTTTCAAATCTTGAAATGGCCCTCGCTGCCCATCTTGAAACCTCGTATCAAAACTCGTTTTTAATCTTTGGCTTTTGACTCAGCATGAGACTTAATTTTTACTTTGACTGCAAGAAACCGCAGTATGGGTGGGGGAGAAATTACGGTGCAAGTGAGACCATGCAAACATCAGAGAGTAAAAGTCTCGAGCCGAGCGAGGCAGACAATGCGACCTCCGCGCTGCCGTTCTTGAAAAACCTATTTCATCAATTGTAAACGGAGTCTTTTTTGGATCCTTTAGACTGTGCCTGAAGAGACAAGTGATTGACTTGCTTGAAGAAGGTTTCACTTGTGAACAGCTGGATGCCCAACCCGTCGTATCGGTTAAAGACTGGTGAGAAAAAAACAAACAAATAGATAGATAGCCTCACTCAACCGCTAACCGGCATACTGATACTGTCCGTATTAAGAACTTACTAGACTATAACAAAGACGAATGATTGCCAAATGTCACAGGTACTGTGGAAGGCAGGACTGTGGCTGCACCTACCAAATAACGGCGTGTCTGCTGGATGAGAATCACGTGGTCCTGCAGGAGTTCAGACCTGAACCCGTGACACTGGACCCCGAGTGCGACGACTGTTCATGGAAAGAGGTGACTTGAAAGCGACGCCACCATACCGATCCGCGTGTCTCTCCGACAAGTGTTGTAACTCTGTGTCATCTTCAGGTCAGCCACACCTTTTCTGAATATGGTGCCGGGCTCCGTTTCATCTCCTTTGAACACGGAGGGCAAGATACAAAGTACTGGGAGGGCTGGTTTGGAGTCAGGGTTACTGGGAGCTCCGTTACTATTCAGGTGTAGGCAACAGGGGAGGGCAAAATGCACAGAATGTGCAATGGTTTCCACGTTTGCCTTATGCACCAGTACGCCCACATACTCTGCCAGGCATATATTGCAGGCTAGGCGGGGAAAATTTGCGGTTTTTGAAGGGGTAGAGTGCCGGCGCGGGCTTCCAAGTAGTCGTATAAAATCCACAAACGGACTATATTCCAAGTAGATTGAATAAACTACAAAATGCATCATCTCCAACTTGTATGCTGGGTGAAGCTTTATGAAGCATTGTTGTTGTCGGCCCCTGAAGTACAATTTAATGAGATCAAGTACGGAATTCTGATGAAAGTTGTTTTCCTCCACTGTCAGATCAACATTGCAAATGTAGAAAAACAAAACAAATTGGCATGTTTATTCCTGTCGTTTATTGACGGTGCCTCATACGGCATTGTTTCAAATAATGGTCGTCGTCTCAGTCACGTTGCTAATATGCAGTGTTGCTCTACTCGGCCGCAAAACAAAAGCGTGGCACATTTCTGTCAATATAAAACGAGCATGAATACCTTTTTTTAACAGCAAGGTACGTGAATCTCATTACACTGTATCGGTTACGGCCACTGAGTGTTGTGTGTCGCCTCATTTGAAAACATTAACTCAATTAAAACTGCAGAAAACAAACTTGGAGTGTGAATTGATTTTTTTATTCAAATAAAAACAAAATGTTGAACACAAAACTAACCCGGGTACAAGTTAGTTCAGAGCAATACATCCAGGACCAGTCACAACAGTGTTTATATCATCATTGTTTTTATGACTGATTGAAAGCCATTTGTCATCAGTAAAGACAATCTAATGCCTTCACGAAAAAAAAAAGATGCCTTGAGACTACAAGTTAAAAGAATCGGACGGGTATGAAAGGTTCAACTTACAGCAGCCCAAAAATAAATTTAAAAAAATTCTTAAAAGGAAGCTACCTTCCAAGCACATACTGACAGAGCAACATACTGATGTAGAACACTCGTGACTCAAACAATACTGGACACTTTGAAATGCAGAGGATGGATTCAAACGGATGAGGTGCTTTCTCGGGAATTGAAGAGGTTTAAAAAATATATATATAAAAAATACAGTCTACGCTGTATACTGCACATAGCACACATAAATGAATAGCTCACTGTAACCAATTCAACAAAGGTGAAATATTACATAATATCCAACTCTGCTCACCCTACTCAAATCTGTTCCCGAGTATGGTAACAATGCATTGTAACCTTTAGAAGAGAAATACTCCATGGCATATTCAAGATAACACATTCTGAAGGACGATCACCCGATTCAATAAGAGAAAATCGTAAAAGCAAAACGTTGGGCTCAATTCTCATGCCGAGCGCAAAGTGCTAACTGTGCGCATGGGTAGGTTTCTCTTTCATTCGGTATCTTGCTAGATTTTGCACAGGTAGAGAGTAAATAATAGACTTCCTGGCGTCCATGCATAACATTGGCTGGTAAACTGCAAGGTCTCCCCTTGCGGACGATGGAGTCGGCCATGCATGCGACATGGGCGATTGAGGACCGCCTTGCACCTCTGATCATGCATCTGAGTGTGCCTCCCTCGCCCAATAGTGGCCGGAGTGTTATTCTATGCCTCCCTCGCCCAATAGTGGCCGGAGTGTTATTCATATATATATATTTAAAATGATAACGACTGTAATTTCTTCAGTGACATGAGTTCGACAAAGATTCAGACGGATTGTCCAATGCTGGTGTCATATTTAGGAATGAAATACCATGTCATCCCCAGTGTGGCATAGGCATATTCGTGAGTGCTCAGAACGGTGCCACCCGCCGCCTCAGTTCATCCAGGAAAAGCACTAATGAAGGCAGCACAGACAGCATAATCACTCTCCTTGTTGCTGCATCTGTTTACAAAAGGTCTCAAACTGCTGATGTTCAAGCTCAGTCATCACCTTGTTCAAGGCATATATCTGAAGATGGGTGAGACAGTAAATCGTTAATTACAAGACAGATCGCTGGACAGAACCAATACCCGCATCCCGTGACGGAAGTCACCTCTGCCCTCTGTCGCTGTTTGAGTTCCTGCTGCGCAGATTTCTGTTTGGATCGGTCTCCTCTAGTTGGCGTCGAGTTGAGCTTTGGCTTGTCCTTACGGCAAGCAGGTTCCATTCTGATTGTTTTCTGCTCCAGCAACATAAAGAGCCCAAAATGTTACTCGGCATGTAAAAACAAAATGAAAACAACTTTAAACTACGATTGGTTAGACACGATTATACGCGACGAATTTATCTTTTGCTGCTGGAAAACATCCATCTGATCGTCTCAACACACAAACACGTCTCACGCCACCATCGGAATCGCACACTTTTACTCGCACACTTTATTTGGCTGGTTTGCGAACATGAATGTTAGCCAGCTAGCATTCAGTTGCTAATGTAAGACAACGCGGATACTGTTGCACGACAAGAGCTGACTGATACACATTGACAGATAAATGCATATGCGATGGCGAGAAAAATGCAAACGTACATAGAGATTTGCTGAACCGGTTCCAAAGAGTGACGCCGATGAATGAAAAACAGCTGTTACGCAGGTGTTGCACATAAACAAGTCCGTCTGGTTTGAAAACAACGCAAAGGTTCCGCATACTGCTGCTTATCTTGTCGTCGTATACAACTCAGTGTAGCCTTTATTTATCAGACATTTGAACTTTAGATGAAGGAATAACGAATATACAAAAAGAAAAACTAAATCAATAAATGTCACAAGACTTTCGTGATCGTTGGTGGAGGATTGAAGAAAACAGAAACCACTAAATTATCGAACGGCACTGTACAGATCTGTGTCATTGTTTTCAGTGATGATCATAACACTCAAACCTAAGTTGAATATTACGTTTTGAAATGCAGTATCACCGTAACGTGTGCTAGTTAAAAAAACAAAAACAAAAAAAAACAACCCAAAAAAACCTTTGCCTATAATTGACCACAAGATGTCAGTCTCGCATAATAGTCCACTCATAGGTTAGTCTTGTGACATCATTCGAACCGGATATCTGCAGTTGACTTAAATTTCACTGGTTTGACTTTTTTTCCCGCGCTGTGTCCTTCCTTAAATTTCACTTTTGAAGGGTAAATTGTTTTAACCTCATGAAGTACATACACGGTGTTTTTAGGTTATGCACTATATCCTCACAGTATTGAGTGAGTCTCACCACAGTGGTCGACGGCATACTTATTTCATCAGAAAGAAAAAAAAAGAGTAATTAGAGAGCACAGAACAGCTAAAAAAAAAACGTCTTTTCAGAACTAACTTAGCTGCCATTTCTTTTCGCTGGTGTTGCTGAAGTCTAAATGTGTGCATATGTGCCCTCTGGCAGTGCTGTACCACAATAGGATTTATGGTGCAGCATACCAACGGTTTACCTGGATTTATCCTCTGACTGCAGGAGACTGCACTGCCTTGGAATAATATCCTGCAAAATACATTGCCAACAACCGTCAGAGCAACGACTGCCCCTGCAGCATTATGCATAAAGGCACATCTTTGTTGAGCAGCACATTTGTCTACGATACAGTAAGTAATCATAAAATATTGTATTTTATATTACAGATCAAGTCAAATGTCCTGATGGTATTATTAATCTAAATAGGTTTCTCAGTTTGACTTTGATTAAAAGACTTGATCAAGTTCCAGACTGACTGAATACATCCATTGGACGTAAAATGTGGCGTGGAGCAAAGTTCAGTTGCAAACTAATTGGGTAATTGCAGGTTCTCGCGGTTAGAAAAGCCTCGCACTCAGAGAAAACCCAAAGTGAAAGACGTCACTGTGTCAACCACTGCATTTGAGTGACAAGCAGTTTCTTGGAAGAGCAGTGTTGAAATACCACAGTACTGTCCTCTGAAACCAGTTACTGTAAATAATCGTATTTGTTTATAATGTTTTTTTTTTTTTAAAGAAACTTATACTAAACAAAACAGTTACTGTCATTTCTCCGCCCTCCCATAAATGCCGTAAGTGGACTCCTACTCACTTCAAATTACATTACATGAAACCGATGGTGATTTAGGACATGAGTCCACCAGTCAGCAGTCGGTGCATTTCCATGACATAAAGTTTGCATTGATGACGTATGTTTGATCTGCTTGCTTACGCTGCGCTTGCACGTAACATTAACCAACCAGATTTGATCCACGTTTGGAAGAGGCCCGATCCGCTCCTAACATATTTTCACTGCCATCACGCATATCCGAATTGTGCCACTTTGGAATTCTTTCACTTTCCCGACAGTAAAAGACACAGATGCTCATTGGGTTTAAGGTTTCTTATTTTTTTTCCAGACATTGGTCTTTTTTTTTGTTTTTGGGTTTTTTTGGACGAAGAGAATAATTCTTACCTGGCGAACAGTTTCGGCTGTCGCTTTAGCCTTCACTGGAGCTCTTCCAGGATCTGTGGTTCTACCACTGAATGCAGTTGAGAGCATTGAATTTCATCAATTCTAAAATGAAATAGCCCACTGTAGCTGAAGCCTTGACTTTTTTTCTCTGAAAAGGAATTGGCATACAGCATCTCCAGCAGTGTGGCCTCCTTATTATGGTCTCTGCCTTCTTTGCAGTACAGACATGCTATTACTGTCACAAATGAGATCAACACCCTCTTGGATGAAATCTCATTACATTCTGCTGATGTGGCCAATGAGTCAATCGACTGTTAGTTGTTCAGACCGAAGGGAAGGCGATGACAAAGTAGAGTGATGATTTGATGGAGGCGGGGAAGTGGTAGAGACGTCCCGGTGAGGGTGGAAGCGATGAGGTGTGGGGAGACGGGCCACGGAGATGGCAGAGTGTGAGTTAGGAGCTTTATCCTTCTAAATTAAACTCTTGCTGCCGGGGGAAGCGAAGCTCTGACTGCTCTTTCACACCAGCAGCCCTGAGCACACAAACTCACCACAATCTCCGACTCGCCTCGCCAATCCACCACCAAAACGGACACACGCAGCATTCATTCTCAGATGCAAGTGTGCTGTGTACAAATCCCCGCGGACATTTACATGTCATTCGTGACTAAAAATAAATGACCATGGTGACTGTGCCCAAAATAACTGGACAGACCCCCGTGCGTAAACATATACTTACTGTACACGACGGCAACGACAGGGATGCGCTTCCCTTTGGATTTTCTGTGCTGCCAATGCCAGCTGATATTTGGCACTGAGCCTACCTTTTTGGGCCACAATATGTAGAACGTGTGACAAAGTATTCCTACACTGCCGTGCAAACCAGTTCATTGCTTGTGGTGTGTGTCTTTCATACCTCATTTGTCAGAGCCATCCTAAACCACGGACGCCCCGACATAAACCGCCCTTATCAATATCCAGTTTTAGGCCAAATAGTCGAAGGACTAGGAAAGACTACACTGCCAGTCCCGAATGCGACTGCCGTATCAAGAGCGATGTTATGACACCTGAATGGGTAAACTACGTCAACAAGAAAGTCCAATCCAAACGACCTGTACAGGTGATGATGTTTTGAATAATGATGCCAACCAGATTTTTGAAGACTTGTTTTGCGTAAGGCTGCGGTCCGCAATGTCATCTCCAACCCCAGCCATCCTCTAAACAATGAATATGTGCTCTTCCCGTACCGGCGCCGCTACTGTGTGCCACACATCAACAGAGTCAAGCTCAAACAGTCCTTTGTACATCCGTCGTCTGTCCTGAAAGCGAAACGAGGAGCTTTCTAAAAAAAATCACACAAAATCAATGAAGCCCAAATAGGATTTGACGGCCTTTGTAAAATGTTTGTACGTTCTGTTTGTGTTTCGTCCAGGGAATTGCATGTGTCAGACAATTTGAATCTTGCATCCGACAATAACATTTGTCGCCCCGCAATACTCATTTCTGATTGAAAAAACAAAAAAACAAAACAACTTTGTATGAGTTCTGAAGAAGCAGATAAAGCAGCCCCCACCGATCCACTCTTCGGTATTGTACTGGCTTGGGCTCTTAGCGAACAGATAGCTCCTCGGCTTGTTTACGTTGGAGCAAGCTCACAATCCTGTTCTCTCATTTTCTCGTCTGGTGTCACGTTTAATCCTCCGGTAAAGAACTTGTTTGCATTATAACAGCAGCGTGTTTCTCCCCCACGGTTACAAATTGACCTCTAATTGCTGTCAGTCACCTCGTTCAACCCTTCACCCGCCACTTGGACCCGCGGTGAATAGAGCGGGTCGGTTTTTTTCCCTCCCTCTTTTTTTTTTTTTTTTGCCGCCATTTCTCTTTCTCACTCTCTGTCCCGAGTGTTGCTTCTCATTAGGCCTATTTGTTTTGGCCGCCACACAGCGACACCATGCAATGAGATGGCTAGTTACGAGTACGCGCGTACACAAGCACACACAGTTTTTTGTTTTGGCACCGATCGGGTTCCACTAAGAAGAGCCTCTAAACAGCAGCGTTCACGGTTCGACTTGCAGCAGAGGCAATGGGAGCTAAAGCGCCCGATGTACAGTAACATTGTGCATATGTCGAAACCGCTGCCAACAAAAGTGAGTACACCCCTCGGTGAAAATGTCTGGACGATCCCAAAGTGTCGTCATTTTGCGTGGCCATCGTTATTTTCCAGAAATCACTTCTACTCTCCATATCCAGCAGAGCTTCACATGTTGCCTGCAATCTCCTCTTCCACTCCTGCATGATGCCATCACAGAGCTGGTGGACGACGTTATAGACCTCGTGCTCCTCCACCTTCCGATCGAGAACGCCCAACCGATGCTCATTAGGGTTTAGGTCTGGAGAGACGCTTGACCATCCTGCCCGCAGCCTCTTCAGCGAGGTATCTTGGGGGTTATGTTTGGGGTCGTTCATGGTTCCCTCAGCGACTGGAGCTCCTCCGTGCAGGCAGCATCAATGCAGCCCCAGACCATGGCACTCCCACCACCGCACTTGCCCGTAGGCAACACTCTCTCTCTCTCTCTCTCTCTCTCTCTCTCTCTCTCCCTCTCTCTCGATTGAAGGTCCGCTCCAGTTTTCTCTGCGCGTTCCAGTTACTTTCGAACGTTACGATATGCGAGTATGTGCACACGTAGTCCCTTTTCGTCCCGGGATCTTTCGATTTGTCATCTATTTCTATTCATCCCGATTCAAAGTCAGGGCAGGAAGACCGAATATTTTTCAGCAGCGCGCAAGGTTGTCAAGCATTTTACCGTCTCGTCTCCCTGCGTGCTCACCTTCAAGTGAAAATCTCAATCCGCACACAGGCACGCACGCACGCACTCTCGCCCTCACAAATGCACACAGGGCCAGTGTTTCTTGTGTTTACGTTCCAGCGAACAGTGAAACCCGTTTAGTCTAGATAGAATCAATAATAACCCTTAAAGAGCTTGTCACTGTGAGGCTGCTCGAGCCCACAGTGGGCCAAGTCAGAGAAAACATATGCCACACAGCCCTTCCACTGCCCAACACACACTCCATTACTGTACACGTGCCTAACACACACTGCAGGAG